CTTGTACTAACAACATACTAAAATAATACGAAAAATATACATTGGTATAATTCGTGGAAAAAGTCATTTTGGGTTGAGATATAAGGTTATTAGAGAACATGGAGAAAATGTATTGAAAACAGGAAATGAAGAATTTGTGATTTATGGTTACTAGTACATTTAAAAAATGTAAACTGGATGAAGACATACTAATTATCTTGTGTATATATCATGTGTTCCTCGAGATGTCTTTTGGATTTCTATCACCTTTAGGGTTGCTGTCGAATTGATATTTGATACTTAACATCTTCAATCAATTCATAAACATACTCTCCTATAGAAGGCGTACACGTGACATCAATGTCAAAAAGTCATTTCCTGCTGTCTGGATGCTAACCAGCGATCTACCCATTCGAAACAAATATTTCAATATTACACCTCAAGCCAAACTGAAAATAAGTGTAAAGCTTCTAAGGTTATCTAAACCCTGTTAGTGATCTCTTGGTAGTGCGCTTGTTTCAAATGTAGTAAATTTGTTTTATGTTACATTTTTTGGTGGCCGAACAATGAATAAAGAACTGCTTTTAGCAGACCTGGCCAAATGGACCCAGTTTTAAATATGGTCTTCACATCACGTCGTCGTTGTCTGTCGTCATCGTAAACTTTTTTTTCAAATAATACATAAATAAACAAACGGAAACTGATTGCAATAAAAGTAACTAGAGGCTCCAATGAGCTTGTGTCGCTCAACTGATATTTTTATTTACAATTGCTGCATGATATAATGCAACCGTTATACTTTTGCTTTAGTTTCAGAGATATAAACCAAAAACTGCTTTTTACCCCTATGTTCTATTTTTAGCCATGTCTGCCATGTTGGTTGGCAGGCAGGGTCATCGGACACATTTTTTAAACTAGATACCCTAATGATGATTGTGGCCAAGTTTGGTTAAAGGAGTAAGTTTGGTAATGGCCATATTCGGCCCCGATTATAAAGTGCAATGGTACAAGATAAGAAATGTTTTAAGTTGTCTTAAAGACATGTGAGAAAGTTAAATAGAACTATTTGTGTAAAAGTTTTATTCTAAAGCGTTGATGTTAACATCCCAAATAAGTCAGAATAAGAGATTTTGGCGAAATTTGATAAATTGGCCGGATTTCAACCAAATTAAGGATCAGGAATCCTAATTTGAAATTTACGCTAAAAAGGGGGGTCATTTTAGGGCCTTATCGAACCTACTCCTTTGTCTCAGTTGTTTCTGAGGAGAAGATTTTTGTAAAAGATTACAAAAATTTACGAAAATTTGTTAAATTTTTTTTATAAAGGACAATTACTCCTTAAGGGGTCAATTGACCATTTTGGTCATGTTGACTTATTTGTAGATTTTACTTTGCCGAACATTGTTCTTTAGATCTTAACCTGATGAACATTTTTACCCTATAAAATTTGCTCCTAATGCTTTAGTTTCAGAGATATAAGCCCAAAACTGCATTTTACCCCTATTTTCTATTTTTAGCCATGTCTGCCATGTTGGATGGCAAGCAGGGTCATCGGACATATTTTTTAAACTAGATACCCTAATGATGATTGTGATTAAGTTTTGTTAAATTTGTCTCAGTAGTTTCAGAGGAGAAAATTTTGTAAGATTACAAAAATTTACGAAATTTGTTAAAAATTTACTGTAAAGGACAATAACTCCTTAAGGGGTCAATTGACCATTTTTGTCATGTTGACTTATTTGTAGATCTTACTTTGCCGAACATTATTGCTGTTTACAGTTTATCTCTAACTATAATAATATTCAAGATAATAACCAAAAACTGCAAAAGTTCCTTAAAATTACCAATTCAGAGGCAGCAACCCAACAACGGGTAGTCCGATTTGTCTGAAAATTTCAGGGCAGATATATCTTGGCCATGGTCAACAATTTTATTCCAGTCAGATTTACTCTAAGTGCTTTGGTTTTAGAGATATAAGCCAAAATCTACATTTTACCCCTATGTTTTATTTTTAGCCATGGCGGCTATCTTGGTAGGTTGGCCGGGTCATCGGACACATTTTGTAAACAAGATACCCCAATGATGATTGTGGCCAAGTTTGGATAAATTTGGCCCAGTAGTTTCAGAGGAAAAGATTTTTGTAAAAGTTAACGGACGACGACGACGATGGACGACGGACGCCAAGTGATGAGAAAAGCTCACTTTGCCCATTGGGCCAGGTGAGCTAAACATGAATATAAATAAACGAACATTTTTAACAGCTGAGCGATTCATGCTCCTAGGATACTCTTGTTTCCACTTCTCTGGCTAGCTTACATTATCAAAGAGTAACTTCTGCCTCATTCTCTAGGGTATCCATCCTATTTGCAGGGTCATCATATTAAACATATATATGCGTTTTTTTTTAAAGTGTCCAGGCTTAAAGAGAGACGAAAGATACCAAAGGGACATGCAAACTCATAAGTCGAAAATTAACCAAATAACGCGTTGGCAAAAAAAAAAAGAAAAAGAAAAAGACCAAAACAAAAACAAAAACAACAGTTTACAAAACACAGCATAAAAAAACTTAAGACTGAGCAACAAGAATCCCACCAAAAACCGGGGGGATCTCGGATGATCCGGAAGGATAAGGAGATCCTGCTCTACATGTGGCGCCCGTCGGGTTACTCATGTAAGTACATACCTGGTGATAAGTCCTATTCTTGAGGTCCCATTGGGGGTGATTGTGGTTACGACGATTGGAACATAGCTTCCTTGTGAGGAGCAACTCTCTATCAAGGAAATCATGATAGGAAATATCGTATCAACTGGAAGATATATTCTTCATATGCTACATAGAAATGAAAAAGTCACAATTTAGAAGCTGAAATCATCTCTTTCGTCGTAAAGCTTTGTTCTCAACCAACCCTCATTGTCAATTTCTAGATGTAAGTCAAGATATAAGGCCGCCTTAACTGTGTCTGTTGTATCCTTTATTTCAAGTTCGATGGGATAGATGCGTTCAACATAGTCACCCAACTTAGAATTATTTCGTGAGAGGACATCATCTATATAGCGGAGTTAAAGTTAAAATTAAGTTAGAATGGACAAAGGGAAATAAATTACGCAGTTTACGATATTATATCATGCAATTTAAATTTCAGATAAAATCTACTAACCATTTTTAAACTTTATAGATTTTAAAGTTTTAAAATTATATAATACAAATATATGAACCACACGCGATTTGGTTAGTCATCTTCATCGATCTTGACAATGATAAACCATAACTACTTTCATTAACAAGTAGACACTTTTACACCTAAGATAGTCTAATTAATGTCTTATCAACGAATTATATCCATTTTAAGATGAGATAATTTTTAATGTCATGACCGATCGATATGTACATCGTAAATACAAGTTCTTTTTCTCTTTATTTATTCTTACATAATTTAACCTGGATAAAAAAAAACAAAAAAAACGCAAATATATTTTTAATGCAATGACTTTGTAAATAGGGTGAATATCCTAGAGAAAAAGAAAAAAATATATTGTAAATATATATTGTATAATTTTTATAATGTGATAAATGTTTATTTCTATAAAAGTAAATGGAATAAAGGTTTGGAAAAAGTTTTTGTGATCCATCACCTAGAGATCGAATATGCACCCATCTTTGCATGTAGAAGTATAAACCTTAAAACTGTAACAATGAGGCGCTAATAAAACAATTCTAAAACGAAAAGGATTAACAGTAATAATATACTGACTGACTTTAAAAACGCAACACTCATTTTGTTGATTTTTTTTTCCCACATCATGTTTGATTCTCATACAACTTCTGTTCATGCTTACCATACTTCTTTCTCTTAAGAAAAAATCAACATCTGACTTACCTGTGGTTATTGAACATACCGGATTTTTGAAGTCGCACGAATTTCGTAAAGCGAAATTTGAAACCCATAAAAGATTTTTTCAGTTTGTTTTGCTTCGTGAAACAGTTCTTTTAATCCTTGGCCACACTTAAATCAGTTAAAAAATGTTGCATCTCCATATTGCCAAGACTGAGGAATAAAAAACTAAATCAGCCCATAAGAATACTGCAAACAAGAAAACGTGAACGTGCTGCAACCATACAGTTTGACTTCAGAAACCCGTCTTACTGTCCTTCCGACATCGATACAGGTAGACAGGAATTGTTGCTTACCATCAATGACCAGATCATCATGTAGTGACAATGCAACGTCAATAGAATTTGATTACGCAACGTCATTTGCGAGACATGTTTACGGCCGCAACGTCAACTGCTTATCAAATTGTCGAATGCCATTGCACACAGATTCATGTCATAAACGTTTTCCATAACCTGAACTGCCAAAGATTCCACTGAAGAAAAACATTTAAAGCCCTGAAGTTTCAGCCGCATAATTGCCAAAACCCATTGTAATGGGTGGAACAACAGCATATTCAGAAGGTGTAAAACAGAACCCAAAACATGTGGAACAGAATTGGTTGATCTTTCTGACAATAATTTTGGCGTTTGTTACAGGCAGTCATTGCTTTTGACAGTGCCACATTCATTCAAAAATTTAAAAAGAATAATCTAGTGTTGCGTTTCTAAAGTCGGTCAGTATATATTGCGTTTACTAACAATATGACCCAACTCCCAACATGCCCCCAAAAAATCATTAAAATCTTCAAATGTACACATTAAAAGTATAAATCTGTTACTTTCAAATTGAAGTACAAATTCAGTGCTGTTAAATTATGGTACTGAAATAGTAGAATAATTTCGAGGTACTATAAAAGTACTACATTATTTTGGCACGTTTTCGGTACTTCAAATTTATAGTACTACAACATTAGAGTATATTTTAGCAAATTATGAAACGTACCCGTCAAAGGATGCAACAAGACAAACTTAGCACCCCCACCCCCAAAGGGAAGTTTGTAATGGCAAAGTTGAAATCTTTTCTTCAAAGGCATCTTTAATTGAAATTTTTATACCGATATAGTTAAGTCTAAAACAGAAGACAGTATTGACAAGTATTATTAACTTTATTAAGCTGAAGCTCTTTTGGATAAATACATTCCGCATTTCAAATAAACTCAGAATTATCAACAGCAAGTAAATCATCAAAGTATAGCTATAATTATTACAAATGTCCATTCATATTTTTGTGATTTTCAATGTTCTATTTCTTAAGTTTTTCCATAGAATTAAATTCATAACAGTAAAGAAAAAGATCAACAATAAGAGGAGCGTGGTTAGAACCCTTTGGAATTCAGATACATTAGTTTGACCATATAATCTTGCCTAAACAAACCAAAATATTGCCACTGGCTATAATTGCAACAGAGGAATTTAAGATCTGCTTTATTAAAATACCATTTACATGATTAACCATCTTTTTTTTTATCAGATTATGTTGAAGATTGGTATAAAATGTAAACAAATGATAACTGTCCACTGAGTTAACTGCATGAGTTTTTCTAAGACTCACAAGAGTTTTTCATAGTGAAAAAAAAATACTAGATATCTGTGTTTTATAGAATATATTGCAATTTTGAATAATTAGATTTTTTTATGGAAGTAGTAGCACTTATTAGAAGTACGAATGTCTTAGAAGTAGTTCATTTGATAGAAGCTGATATAAAATAGAATTCATAAAGAGTAATTTGTAGCTTAGATAACCAATGCAAATTCGGGACAAAATGATAATGACTAAACGCTTTAAGGTGTTAGGTTTCGGTTTATTAGTTTTCTATTAGGTGTATGTTATAAATAGGTCTTGACAACAGCTAAAATAATTAGAATTTCACCCTGTAAGGTGTCGATGTAATACTTACCTCAAATATACATAAATAGAACAAACACAAATTTTCTGTCAAATCGATTATAGTGGGAAACCCAAATGCAAAATAAGTTTAATGATAGTGTACATTGAGGGAATACGAAAAAGGTATGTAAAATGAAATAAGGGTGATGAAAAGCAAAGCCGATATACAAATAAAGTGAGTACTATTCTTTCCGAACTAATTAGAAGATTGAAGATTCACCCACACAAATAGCAAAATATTGGCATTAAAACAATCAATCGATATCAATTTGACACTGTCATGTTATTCTTTTTTTCAGCACTACTTCCATCTTTGTCTTTTCTTCTCTTGCAGCTTTCATGACTTATAACATCGTCTCTCATTATGTTGAATTCCTCTTTTGTTACCATGTTGTCTACAAGTATGTATAAAAAGTAACATTGATTATATGAATATAATATTGTATTACATATTGTAAATGAAACTATTATAAATGTTACTAATATCCTTACATACAGCATCTGTAAACAATAATTCTATTACAAATATTTCTATATTGTGATGAAATTATACTTCATTGTCCTTCATATGGACCATAATTATAAATGGCATTAAGAGTTTAAATTTATGTTTTTTGGAAAATAAATCTCAAGGTTTTACATGTACATCTATTGTTTGTATATTACAGATAAGATATAGCAACACTTTTGAAAAGAATGTAACATCACTGATCTGATACTTTCCACGAGTTTTTTTTGTCAATTATTTATCAATTACAGTTTGCTGAATTAATATTTTTTAATAAGAAATATAATTACGGATGTCATGGCTACCAACTCCTGTGATGTCCCACAACATGGGTGGCATATATAACATTTGAATCAGCCTATTTCACATAAGACAGCAGGTAAAACAAGTAAAAATGTTTGAAGATAGCTGGCAAGATATCTTTATTTGTATACTTAAAGTCGTTATTTTATATCTAGGATTGCAATGAGAAAGTTGATAATAGTTTAGGGGCAACGCCAGCAGTAGGCTGGAGTATATAAATTTGAAGCAACAGCAAAAGAGAGTCAGAAGATCCAAAAGGGATATTCAATCTCAAAAGTCGATGACGAACTGACAACGCCAATGCCAAAAAAAAAAAAAAAAAAAAACCAACGAAAAAAGATCAATAGAAAACAACAGTAACAAAACATAACGTAGCAAAAGACTGAGCAATACGAACCCCTAGAAAAAACCGAGGTGATCTCAGGTGCTGCGGAAGTAGTATACTGATGATCAGAGCACATACATCCATTGAGAAAATACACATCAAGGTGAAAAACAACTTGTGGAATCGCCTGAACTCCAAAAGGAGCCAGAATGGGTAAGCTGACGAAGTAAGCGTCTTCTGATAATCATTCTAATGTTATACTCTTATAAAAGTAGTCGGTTTAACTGGAAATATATATTTTATTTCTCAATTCTCAATTCCTAAGAGGCATCTTTTTCCTTAAATTTATGATATTTTTGTCTTTTCTTGACTCTTATTTTAAAGATATTTAGGCATTGGAAGCTACCGTTACATATTTTAAATTTGGTGAGTCAATTCCACAAACATGGTTTTCGATTCAATAAACCTCTGCACCTAAAATTTGAACCTTTCAGTTCTAACGCTTAACCTATTAATTACTTAATCAGAAAAAGAATATACAAGTGAAATTTTTGGATCTAAATTCCAATCTTCCGAAATGCTTATATTCATCGTTAAAATAAAGTTTTATAGGAGATGACCTTGGCATGCTTAACAATGACTTGAAGAGTAAATTGGTGATGTATGCCCTCACGCATCAACTTATGACATAACTTCATGATGTTAACAAATGAGGGATATTTAGGTAACAGAAGTTTACCAATGTTAAAATCTAATAAATTGAATGAGAAGATACAAATCAAGGTAACAAACAAAAACTGAGAGAATCGCATTAACTGTAAAAAGAGCAGGCACAGGTGCACATTCACGTAGTCAAACATGTCACAATCAGGAATAGGACACAATCAGTTGATTTACATATCAGACGACTATTCTGTTATCTAATGATCTAAGACCACGAAAACAAGTCGCTAGTGAATTGAGACACAGCAGATTAAATGTATCGGTCAATCAATCCTGATTGTAATCGTATACTTTATGTTGTATAATGATAATATGTGGTATGATTACATATAAGACAACTATCCACTAGAGACCAAATGACGTAGACGTAAGCAACTAGCGGTAGCCGTACGTCCTTCGACAATGACAAAAACCCATAATACGACAAAATGTAAAAACAATTCAAATGAGAAAACGGTAGACCTGATATATGTACAATACAAAAGATATGATAGACATCAACAACGGCAACAACTAAACGACAGGCTCATGACTTGGGACAGACAAATACACAATGTTGCAGGGTTCAAATCAGTGTTTTCATGCCACTATTTAGAACTTGGACAAAACAATAGGTCGTACTGCATTCCTCAAAATTCGTAAAATAAAATATATTATAAAAGTGTTCTCAAATTCACATAGGTACAATTCGAAAAAGCTAATTAAAAATATTTACTTTCAAATGATGACTAAAATGTATGATTTCTGTTTTGCACGCACAAAAAAAATGTGTTTCTGGATTAACCTTCATGAAAAAAAACTCAAGGTGAAACATTTGGAAAGCCAAATATACAAAGTGGTTTAGCGCATACTAATCAAACGGGTATATATATATATATATATATATATATATATATAGGCGTGAACGTTGTTTTCAATTTAGACTTGTATATATATATATATATATATAGCGGACGCTAAGACTGTACAACAAAATAATGAAGGATAGAATTTGGCTTTTTCCACATCTTTATAAAGAAAACAAAATGTTAAATTCTTTAATATACCTTCGTCGATGTCCAATTCCGCAAACAAGTTGTGAAGAATTTCAGGTGTGTTGACGCCATCATCGAAATAGACAAATATCTTCTCCAGATCACTTTTCGTTATATAACCTTTTCCATTCGAATCATACGGGTTAAATACACATGGATTGAGCGGAGTCTTGTGTCGATTGTTTCCATCATACTCCATCTCTACATGAAACTTCCGTTCTTTAGATTTTACCTCCGAACTTCGTTTGAATCTTACTGAATATTCAATACGAACTCCCCAGTCATCTCTGTTGTTTTGACGTTGATAATATGCTCTGCCACTAACGGAATGGTGTACATTTCTATTGCTATTACACTCTTCGCTGACGCCAAATAACAAAACCAGATATACAACGATAGTACCAACCACGTTCATCATCTAAGGTAACATAATTTATAGAAATGTAAATACCAATAATAATCAATTTTAATCAGTATACGAAACAAATGAGTATGCAAAATGAAATTTCTCTGAATAAAAATGCAAGCAAATGATATTATCAATTTATGATATATAAAGGATAAGTGATATACACCATCGTTACATGTATAAGAATTAACCCGAACTACAGTCAATTTGCAAAATATAAAAATATCATTGAATCAGAAAATGGAGAGAAAATATGTAATAACAAAATTCCCTGGAAATTCATAAAAAACTGACAAAAAAGTAACAACAAGTATTAAGAATAAAAATGTTTGTGATGCATTTAAAGAAGAAAGGGATAACATAAGACGTGGGTATATGCCAGGGAGACAACAACCTAACACCACAATACAACACGAGAATGCAAATAGAAGTCAAAATAAGACCCTCAACATTAGACAAGACTTGTGGCTACTATATATCGTGCTCTAAATTGACCTTAGGTAAGTTTAGAATAATAAAGATTATTAAAGATCTGATAACAACACTAAATGAAATAAAACACACAATCACCAATATTTAAGCTAAACAATTATTTTGAAGAACTTTCTGACATTGGACAGACACGTTTATGTGTGGCGAGTGTAATTTTACTATAAATTATTTTTGGAGTAATCAACTCTACCTCTTTTTTTCCGATCAGTTGTGCAGAATAGAACATTGGGTGAAAAAATCAGATTAGAAACTTTATGAACTGTCATTATTGCAAAAATAGGTAACAATAAAACAATGCTAAATAAATTCAGCATAGATAGATGGATTAAAATTTCGTACGCCAGACACGCGTTGTCAGCAAAAGACTCGTCAGTGACGTTAAATTAAAACCATTAAAAGAAATCTTATTGTTAAAATAATATCCTTCAAACTCGTATATTGGCCGTTGTAGCTTCTTATGAAAAAATACAGTCGTAACTGAAATAATATAACAATTCATGCAACTGTAGCTGGGAAGCGTATAATTCTCAAATATTACCAAAACTTCAGCCGAACATTTTAGAGTTACAAATGCTTGTATCGCAAAATTTGGAATTACCCTAACCCTTTCATAATTTCGACGTAATATTATATATTCTCTTATGGAAAAATTTGATATAAAAATGTGTTGTTAATCTAAATTTCAGCGGCAAACATATCTTAGAATAATTTAACAAAGATATGAATTCAGTAAATTAGTATTTTGTTTCTCTTTTTTTTCTTCCTAGACCTAAAATATGGAAACAAACTAATACTTACTTTTTCAATTTTCCTTAGAATTACAACAGTTTATAGTTCCAGTCTGTCGACATTGCATTTCTTTTATAGCAGATTGTACTTCCTGAATTAGTAGACAGTTTACACAAGGAAGATGCATTTCTAAAGTACTTATCGATTATGCAACTTATATTGAGGAAACAATTATTATGCAGCTCTTCACATCAGAAAAAAAAAACTGCAAATTTGTCACTAGGGGATTTATTCGAAATTTTCTTCCCGATTAGGATGCGTTTTGAATCAATCATACTATGATATAAAAAGTCAACATACATACTAGTACACGAATATAAAGTTTGCACGCCATATAGTGCGGTTACCAAGGACAGAATTTTTTGGATTTAATCTCCCCACCGAACACACAGCTAAATCATATATCATTTGAAAGAAGAAACCTTGTACTATAAGAACAAGCCTGTCGTAAGGATCAGATATGGTCTAATTTTTTTAAAACTAAAGTTAAAGGTCAACTTCACAATTAAAAAAATTAAATGTTTTCCTCTTATATTTTCTGTCAAATATCAGACTTGTATAGATTCAGCTTCATTAATAGTAGATTTTCGTATAAGAACTAAATATTTGTTTATATATAATTTCTCAAAACGACGTTTTTAATTACAAAACTCAAAATATGAAGATTTCAACCATATAAAGTCAAAATGACCTTGACCTTACAAATAATGTCAAATTCACCTAAAATATCATTTGTCACGAAAGACAAAACTACAAAGTTATTTTTTGCTACTATTGTATACGATGTATTAGTTCAAAAGCGGTAAGGTTGAATATGACATACTGATTTTGTCATATTTGTTTACAACAGGAATTTGTTTGGTTTTATCCATAAAACTGTTTCCAATTGGGTAGTTAAATGAATTAGGTGTCTTTTATGTAGTCATATTTACTTATATTGATTTTATAGGAGCCCTGTCCCTTTCTTTTTGTAGCGTACTACAGATTTTCATGATTTTCAAAGGTTCTCAGGTCTGTACTCTATCATTGTCATTTCCATCATTCATTTCAAGACTTGTGTTCATGTTAAAACATATTTCACTTAGGTCTACATGGCATGAACAAGTCTGCGCATGACGGATTCTGCTCAAAGTAAACGAACCCTTTTGAGTTTTACAATAAAACATCAAAACAATAATATTGAGTATCAACAATATAGAGAATAAAGGGATACAACACCAACCACGAACTCTCTACTCCTCTGGAAAAAAAGAGGAAATTCACACTTCAGTGATAAACATGGGGTCAATAGTCTAACCTTGTACAGACACATCCTGCATGTGTGTGTGTGTGTGGTGGTTTTCGTGATGGAGGTTTTGGGGTAGAGGGGTTACGTGTGCAAAAATCTCCACCTTTGCCTTGATATATCATATATGATAACAATAAAACATGAACTAAATAGTCTCGCTACCAACTTCATGACCACTAACTTGAAACAGAGAAATAAACCAACCTCTTAGTTGAAAAGAATTTTGTTCGGAACATGCACATTACTAAGAGGCAAGCTAAGGTTACCAAAAATGTTTCTTTTATACTAGTACTCATGGGAAAAAGAGAGAAACATCACTTCTAACATGTTTATAAAGTATAAGAAGCGAATGGAAATAGGCAGTATTTTTGAGAGACCAGAACGTATTAAAAATCAGCAGGCAGTCGAAGAATAAAACATTTTTGACTGAATCATGCCAGTTTTCCTTGCTGAAAGATATCAGAACTTTTCCGTGTTTAAATATGTGATTTTTCAATTTTTAAGATCCATTTTCGATATTCCAATAGAATAATGAATGAAAAATGCTGTATTATATAAGATTTCATAGGAAACGGTATATTAACAGATAAAAGAGAAGCGAAAGATACCATACTGAAATTGATATTGAAATAAAACCGGCCAAAAGACAAGTACGCAAAAAACAACATAGAAAACTAAAGACTGAGCAACACGAAGCCTACACACTTGTCTCTAATCTAAAGTATCTAAGTATCTAACTTGCAATTTTATACTTATTACATTACATCATAATCTGATTCATATAGAGTAAGTTCTGTATTATCTAATAGTGCATATATTTTTTTTGGGGGGGGGGGGGGGGGGGGGGGGGTTGTAATATATCATAAAAGTCTAAAGAATCTGAAGTAATGATTGCTTATTTTTGTTGCCAGATAAAAAAAAATCAATTTGTGGGAGAAATCTTCTAGATCTGGTGTAAAAAGTTGACTTTTTTCATATTCGGTAGAAAGAATGTTTAACGTAATATCTGTCGAAGAGGTCGCCCTTGAAACAATGAAGCTTTATAGCGAAAGTGTTTCATGGGCGAGACGAAAAAATGCGGAATTTACTCGAAATGTCTGTCGTTGAGTTTGCTTATAAATACAAAGACCTTTTTCTTTTATACAATTGCAAAAAGGCGAACATAATATAAGATAAACATATAAATGCATATTTGTTTATACAAAACAACATAAAACTCGAAAACATCGTTTATAACAGCAAAAATATAGTAATTAGAAAAATTACTTGAGTGCTAATTAAAAAGTAATGACCGTGAGAGGAATGATCTATTTCCGTGTTAAACTTGAAGTTTTATAATTTTAATTTTTATCATCAATAACTTTATATTTTTATACACCTGCTCTTAGAAATTTTTATCAGGAATAGCCTTTAGGATGTTTAACAAGTTTATTACACAATTAGATACAAATGTGTACATCTAGGGACAAGCGAATAAAGTTTATGTCTATATTTTTACGAAAAAATGCGACATTTTTAAACAACTTGAAATTGTATAATTTTATATATTAGATGCCAATAAAAATCTAAACTGACATTTATGAATAATGGTTATTCCAAAAATTAAATTCTCTTCAAGAAAATGTAGGCATATAAGTTCAAAAAAATATTTTGAAGTAGGTGGATGACAAAATTACAGAAATAGTCTATACGGAAAAACGATTTTTTTAGGAAATTGTGACCATACGAATTTCTTACGACAGGGTGGAAATTAAAGCAGACATATGTATGTTTAATATAAGATAAGGCGTGTGTTAATTGGGGAGATTAAAATCAATATTTAGACGACTTTTTGCCTGTTTGTCATCGCACTAATTCGCGCCTTTCGTCTACAAAAGACTCATCAGTGACGCTTGAATAAAAAAGGTAAAAAGGCAAAAAAATGTACGAAGTATGAACATTAACGACACAAAATTCCGAAAGGTAAGGTATCTATTCCTGGTAATATACCACTGTCGAAATCACAACGTATGTCTATGTTCGTTAGAGTTTCTTTTGTAGTAATAAGAAAATCTACATGAAATAAAAGTTATATTTTCATAAGTATAATCATTTATAATTTTAGGCCTGGTATAATCACAAAGCTAGATCAAAAATACTCAAACAGAGTAACAATAAAACAATACAAAAAAAACTCAGCATAGATACTACAATTTTACAAAAAAACCAAAACGACCGAACGACAAATGACAATAAACAAAACACAAAATAGAAATCTAAAGACTAAACAACACGAACCCCACCAAAACACCGGGGTGATATCAGGTGCCCGAAGGCTTAGTAGATTCTGATATGCATGTGACATACGTCATATTGCTCATGTAAGTACATACTCGGTATTAGTATAACTCGGTGATGCCACACTCGAGAAAAATTGGACGGGATTGTGGTTACGACAAGTCATCTGTAAAGCAGATATTCCACAATGGTTTATAAACTCGCAAATGGAGTCCGTAAAATTCTGAAAGGAATGACTTCAACTTCAACTGCGAGATATATACTACATATGGCGGCGCTGCTGGAATGTTGCTACATGGAAATGAACAAATTACAATTGGGAAATTGCAAATCATCGGTTTTGTTGTAAAGTTTTCTTCTAAACCGACCCTTAGTGTTAATTTCTAGATGTAAGTCAATTGTATCTATTGTATCATTTACTTCAAGTTTATGTCAATGCTTTCAACATAGCCACCAAACTTTGAATTATGTAGTGGGAGGACATCATCTTTATACTTGAACGTGAATATAAAAGAGAAATGCTAGCTTCTTTTAGGTCTTCCTTAGATGTTTTTGGCAAAACCTTTCGGAATTTTGGCCCTCAATGCTCTTCAACTTCGTACTTTATTTGGCCTTTTAACTTTATTGATTCGAGCATTACAGGTGAGGCTATTGTAGACGAAACGCGCGTCTGGCGTACAAAGTTATAAGCATGGTATCTTCGATGATTTTTCCTCTCAGAAGCTCCTATATGAATTTTAACTTTATTTGATTTAGGGAACAAATCGACAAGAAGAGGAGCACTATTGGTTCCCATGAGAAAGCCGATTGTTTGTTGAACCACATGTCCTCCAAACGTAACAAATATGATGTCAATCAAGAAATCAAGCATTTTGTCAATGTCAGTTTCAGAGCATTTTTTGTTGAATCAATGTTTTTTTATTTTTTTTTTTTCACAAAGAATGATTTTTCCTTCCTTAAAACAAGACATTTGTATCTACGTTGGCCATTCTGTTTTACGAAGTAAAACCAATTCTTTAAATTTGTCTTTAAGTTAGGAATAGGGAATACGTGTGTAAGGAGTAGAAAAGTAAAATGTTATCGTTCTATTGCAAGAAGATTTAAAAAGACTTAGATTGTATGTTATCTAACAGATCTTTGGAATTTTTAAATTACAACATCTGATTCATACCGCCCCTAGAGTAGGAAGTTTCACAATAACTCTGAAGCGGGGACTTACTTGCTGTTAAAATTGATGTCAATAATTTAGAAACACGTTGTTTCGTGAAAAACTTGAAGAACCAATGAAACTTTGTAAGGACACTTTTTTCATTTAAGGTACTAGTATCCAATAAAATGAAAGAAGATCGGGTTCTTTTTTTTCAATTACTTTTTAATTTTACCAAACTGGCCGCATTGCCCAAAATAGAATTGATTGATTGATTGGTGTTTTACGCCACTTTCAGCAATATTGTGCTATTTCGTGGCGGTCAGTTTTTATTGGTGAAGGAAACTCGAATGCCGGGAGAGAACCACCGACCTTCGGTAGGAAAACTGACAATCCTAGTCAATTAAG